AAACAAGAACAGCGTACCCATTGTTGAGCTCCCGTGCTCTGCAGTTTCGGCTGAGGAAGTGCGAAGCGTGATGATATATCTCTTCGGAGTCTCGATTAGGGTTTAGACAAACGAAAGTCCTTCCTGAAAAGACGAAAGTACCCTTGAAACCTGATCACAGTGGCCGTCCTGTTTCTGGTCCCAACTAGATCATAGAGCCCAATTGACGTTGGTTATTGGGCCGACGCTTTTTAAGAAATAAAATCCTCACTGTTTATTCATACTAATTGTTATTTTTTTTTTTTTAACACAATTCGGGACTAAATATTACGTGCTTGTTAAAAACATATATAGTTTTTTAACTACCATTGAGTTATGTTCATGTCATGTTGATTATATATAACACTCAAACACAAAATTTAAAACTCTTAATTCTCAGAGTTTTCATCTTATTTAAGACTTACATCTTTTTCAAACCACATTTTTTCTCTCGCACAAAAAATTGAATATATGGTTTCATCGATCTCGAGACTCCATCACGTAAAATGTTGATCTCTACCTTATTTGTCTCATAGTTTGCAAATTTTATCCCTCATCATTCTTTGTGTAGCCTCCCATAGTTTTTATATATTGTCTTCATTCATCAAGCAAAGCTTCTCACCATTACCATCTTGTCCAATACCGGGAGCTCATGCTTGACTAAAACCACAAACATTGTATTCATAAACAAAAAAAATTAGAGATAGTGAAATCCAAATACAAGCAATGTTTATTTATCTAACATAACCTATATGTTATTACTCTACATCAAAACTACTCCATCAATGATGAAATTGATCCAATACGAGGTCTTCGATTTTAAATCTAGGTGTTTTAATCAGTATTTAAATATATATCAATATTTATATTTATGATAATTTTTTTTTATTATTTTTATATATGAATTCAATAGCAATAACAATTTTTAATATATTTTATTTACTAATATTAGCATCTTTTATATTTTTATGGATGTAGCATCTATAAAAAAAAATTAATAGAAATAATATAAAAATATTGTATGGTCGAGTTTGACTTGTTGGAAACTATGACAATGAATTCATTAAAGGAGGGACCAGGACGTGTTTATACTTTTGAGCTATCGAGTTAATAAAGTGGCTTTGTTAAAATTTTGAAGTAACAGAGCTATAAAAAAAATCCAAAACCCATCACTCAGTAAGTTTTTTTCTCGTCATCTCTTTATCCCCTTGAGGAACCACTTTCTCATTGCCAAAGCTTCCATCCATGATGGCCGCCGTCGCCATCATCCATACCAATGCCGTTATCAAAACCACACCGATCAAAATAAGTTGGCGGAGATATATATCAATCAGCTGATAAGTCCCTGCATCGAGCATCTTCTCGCAAATACTCCAAGTCCAATCAATTATGGAGCGCTTACAAGGTGCTTCAATGGTGAAATAGTAAGTTTATGCATTTAAGTTGCACTCAAATTCCCTATTCAAAACATATGGAGTTCTAAGCACTTTAAGAATAAATTCTTGATGCAAGTTCCAACTCATACTATCAAGGCAGGACGCTAGAAAATCGTCAACGGAAATCTGTTAAAGTGATGAGATTTTTCAATTTCTCCATGTCAATCTCGTACACCTCTGTTGTATTATCATTAGTACCAATAGTCTGCATCTAAGCATCATCTAAACTCACAAAAAATTATTTAGAAATAACATCATTTCATCAATTCTATCAATCTAGAGGTTACCATCTTCCTTAATGCCTCCCTCTCCATGTGTAAAAGATCTCCATATATCTCTTGCGAAAGCAAATCTCTTTGTATCGGAGTATAAAAGTGATTGGCCATCATTGCTTTTCTTCGTGTTGTCGTTTCGGTTTGGTTGCGTTTGGCCAGGTTGACCTGGAGCATTACTGCTGGATCCTTCTCTGTTTAACACCAAAGTGGCCGTGAGCCGTCGAAGGGTGTCCTCGAGCTAGTGGAATTTGTTAACGAAACCCACATCCATTCTGCTCAAATGGTCATGTAACATTCTCAAATTGATTTCCAAGTTTTATATTCTTTCTTTATCGGTAGTCATGACTCTGATACTAATATTAATTCTCAGTTAAAAACTTATAAATTTAGCTAAGATTTAATCTTTTGAGCGAAAAAAAATCACAAATTTTTTACAATTCAAATGTGATTTTTTATTGGTGAAGAATGAAGTTTAAATACACAAAATTCAACTGTTATTATTAACTAGTTAGGGAACAGCCATACGATCTTCGCCCATCCCATTTGTTCAAATTTTCTTTTTTATTCAGTCATCTTCTACACGTGTTCTCCTGGTACGTCGAAACTTATCAAAATAACAAACATTATTTAAAAAAAAAGCAAAAATATTTAGAAAAAGAAAACAAGAAAAGAGTTTTTTTCCTTTTTTTTTCTTTAAAGGAAGAAAGAGTTTTATGATGCCAACAAGAAAATTAACCAAGAAAGAGGATTATCTTTTTATCATTGATATGTGGATTCACCTATACCAACAATAGTTCTGAACAAATGAATTTTGTAAATTTAAAAGGAAGAAAAAGATCCCTGTTCGGTTGCAGAATGATCTTCTCCAATTCTTATCCTAATGTTCCGAGATTCATCATCTCCATGTCCAACAAATCAAATAATAAAATTTGTAAAACATTCCTATCAATTCAAATTACAGGAATTTTACTAGGAACAAATAACCCAGAAAAACACTGTAACTTGACAGGAAATCTCCTCGTACACAAAATATTGCATTGCAAAGACAAGAGATACCGATGCTTCTGCCTTAACCAGAAACTAGTTGGTCAGAACTCAAAAAGGCCTAAAATGAATCTCCTACAGTCTGCCTAAAACTGATGACATTAGAAAGCAATAAACGAAGCAAAGCAGGAGAAAAAACCATCTACACATGATCATAGAAGAAAATAGATGCAAAGGTGCAGAGACCGTAGTAAAAAATTTTCATCACCCCTACATTAGATTGAAAACCCACAGAAAGACATGGCATATATTTTAACCTAGAATAAATCTAGAAACAAATTTTAACAGCAAGTAACTCAATAGTTCACTCATGTTCAACAAAAACATCGGGACTTAGTTGCCTCGGTGTGCAAAATCCTCTCAACAGAAATAAATGTCCAAAACAAAACTGAAACACAAAATACTAAGTTCTCTAAGTTTAACGGTATCGACGTAGAGACAGTGTGTTGTTCCTCTTCCAAGTTGCCCTCCTTGAAGGTCTTGCCTTGTGGTGCAAGTGTCCCTTGCCACGGAGGCCTCTGTACTTCTTTCCAGCTGAAGTAAGTCCTCGGAGTTCTCTGTGCTTGTGAACAGGATTGCAGATCCAATTGATTCTTGGATCATTTCGAACTGCATTGTGAGCAGGATCAACCAAGATTATCTCATAGTACTTATATGTGGAATCCTGCAAGGACAGATAAAGATATACAGCATTACTATCGCGAAAGTTGATTCATATCAAATGACAACAAAATCTCACAACATGGCCATATAGCTTTCTTTTGAAAGATAATTGGCTCTCTTTGTCTACAGCTATTGATAAGATAAACTGAAAGCAAAATTTAAAAAAGAAATAGAAAAATTGTAAACATATTACAAATTTTGATCAATTGAAGCCACATACATTGCACAAGTTTTATTTTATAACAAACCTCATTGATCCAGTAGGAGTTCAGAACCCTAAGACCACCCAATTTCCTACCAGCACGTTCCTCAGCAACAGAGCGCTTGCTCCTCTGGAATTTCAGCTGCGTAACACCTTGATTTGTTGGTTTCCCATACACAATACCCTTGGGAACTGGTCTCTTACGTCCACCACGCCTTACACGCACACGATAAATCACATAACCCTGTAAGGAGTGTCAACAAAGCCAAAGTCCATTAGTCCAATAATTGGTCGCTCAAAGCAATAAAAATATTCGGAACCAACAGATTCCTCTATTCTTGTTTGGTAGAACTGAAAAATATACATTGGAGTAGTCAAAGAAAAAAGATAGTGATACGACAAGATTCCATGAAGGCAAATTACATCACAAAATCCAAGTAACAGCACTCTGATCTAAAATTCATGGAGGTACTTGTTCAACCTTTTGCTCCCAAGCAGTGGGATGAGCCAAGGGCTCTAACCTCATTCCTGTCGAAAAATGAGCTGGCATCTCACAGGCAGTGGCTTGGTTAAGGGAACCCAAGATTTTACGACTGTAATTTTAGAGACACAAAAGAGAAAGCCTATGGTTCGCTTTTATAACTGGATAACTAGCACTGAAACCCATCTTTACATCAGATGGGTTGTTGTTTCGATGAGCCCTACTTTATTGACTACAACTTCTGTATTTGTTATCGCATTGATTGCTGTTCCTCAAGTAGATTTTAAAAATTTTAAACTCCATTAATTCACATTTGTTTTCTTCATTATTAACATATGTCTTTGCGATAAAATATATTGATTAAAAATTAAAATTAAAAATTAAAAATATTTCTATGTACATTACTAACTTATAATCTTCCTCCTTGTATAACACCATTTGATCCATTCAGTTTAGAGGGGAAAAGAATGGAAACAAACAAGGATGTGAATAATTTACACATGCATGTCAAGATTAGTAATAGACAAACTACAACCACATCAGTAAAATATCATGACAGATTAAGTTAACAAAGTGCTACTTGATGACGTAAATCTCAGGACTCGGAATCAAAGTTAGCTAAATAAGAACCTTCAAATGAAATTACCTGCTTGGCCTTGTAACCCAAGCGACGAGCCTTGTCCGGGCGAGTGGGACGTGTCACTCGGACAATGGATGGCTGCTGTCTGTACTCCCAGCACCTCACCCTCTGCAAAAACCTCATAACATCTGACTGCTTCTTCCTCCATAGCTCAGACACGTACTTGTAAGCCCCTGATTTTTATATAATACCAAAAACATCATTATGGAAGTTCTGCTATTAAAGAAAATACAAAAACTTTTTTCAGAAGGTTCCAATATACAGAAACTAAAAGTATCATTTCCAAACATCCATGGCTAGCTAGATCATGGTCTTCTCAGCTTAGATAAACCTAACGATGAATATAAAACTCATACAGTAAACGCATTGCAATCACGGGTTGCAAAATATAAAGAAACTAAAATACCCATCAGTCAATTTGTTGAATCATAAACACGGTATGAAACCAATATACAGAGAGCAACATAACAGGACACTGAAGATGGTGAGTTCCTTCTTCCCTAAACTTAAGACAAAAGGCGATTTCATATTAAAAAAAAAAAAAGAATGAAGAAAACAATAACTATAGACCCATGAATCAGAAACTCAAAATACCTTTAAATGAAAAAAAAAATTGAAGTGTTACGGCATAATCTTGCAGATTTGTGTAAGTAACGAGTATGTAAACGGATTATGAAATGACTGTGACACTAGCCAAGCAAATGGATGGGTTTAGATGACATTGAAACATGAAATGTAATAGAAAAATCAAAGGAAACAAGAACTGCGTACCCATTGTTGAGCTCCCCTGCTCTGCAGTTTCGGCTGAGGAAGTGCGGAGGGTGATATATCTTTTGGAGTTAGGGTTTGCAGAATCAAGTCCTAATGCGAAAAAGATTAAATTACCCTTGAGACATGATCAAAATGGCCCGCTTCTTCCTGGTCCCAACTAGATTACAGCCCAATTGACTTTCGCGAACTGCACGTTGATTATTGGGCCCGTGCTCTTAAGCCCATTAGGTTTTTTTTTTTTTGGGTAGCTTTTTAACAAATAACATGGTGACTATTTATTTATGCCACTTCCTCATTTTTAGTGGTTTTTTTTTTTTATTTCTTTTAAATACAATTTAGGATTAAATATTACATGTTTGTTAAAAATATATATTTTTAAATACCGATAGGCTATGTGGATGTAATACTGACAATATATAAAGCACTTGAATGCATAATTTTTAAGTTTTTTAATCTTATAAAATGACTACAATTTTGGGTATTCACTTAATTTTGTATGTAAAAAATAATAAACAAAGAAAAAAATATTGCATTTTTTTGGATTAATTGTGTTTCGAGCTAAAACTTTTATAAGTAGGTAAATATTATAAATATGGTATTTGCGTCAATGTCACATCAATAATACTTTTATTTAAAGCAATTGATAATATTATTGCTCAATAATATAATTTTCTTTCACATGATCAAGCAGTTTATACAACTTATTATATTAAAAAGTTGAGGAAAGACAAGTTATTATTATTAACTTTTTTTCAAAAGGGTTGAAATGTGAATTGTGCAAATGTTATAATACGACTTATGAATCAAACCTTAATTTCGTAATTATTTGCTACGCGACACATGAAGAGATTACTTAACCCAAATGGAACGTCATCATGCTAATTATAATTAAAATAATATATATATTTTTTAAAGTATGATTAACACTAAAATAATATATATATATATATATACACACACTTAGGATTTAGTTTCCAATAATGATTACAAAGATCAAATTTATAAAAGAGTTTTATGTTTGAAATAAATATATTTCACAGAAAATCTTAAATTCATCTACAGTTTTATTTGTGACTTATTTTTTAAAAATAAAAGTTTAAGAGTCCATAGAAATATAAATATTAATTTATAAAATTCTGTATTTTTATATATTTTGAAATTTATTTTTTACTCTATATTTATTTATTTTGAAAAATTTTAAATTCTGGAATGTAAATAACAAACATTATCTTGAAAGAGAAAAGCAAAAATTATTCAGAAAAAGAGAACAAGAAGAAGAGTTTTTTTTTTAAAAAAAACGAATTTAATAAAGAAGGAAGAAAGAGTCTTCCCAAAGAGTCTGCTTAAATTTTATCTTCTCCCCATCCATTAAGATGCCCTCGTAAACATAAATAAAAAATCAGGACGCTGACAAGCAGACTCTAATAATAATAATAATAATAATAATAAACAATGGGAAAAGAAGAAGAAGAAGAAGGAGAAGAGGTGGTGGGATAAGGCAGGTCAGAAAAGACAGAAAACAAGATCAACTATTCGGTGGAGGAATATATAAAGTCATATCTGATCTTACCAACACTCTTGTGTCCTAAATCATGTACGGTGGTGGTAGAGGCATGGGAGGTGGTGGACCAGGAGGAAGCCTGTTAAGGACTGTTAGCAGAGTGGTTACTGGGAGTGGTGTTACTGGTAGCACTACTTTTCAAGAACCCCTCTCTTCATCGGCCTCATCTTCTTCTTCCTCGGCTTCTGGTGCCTCTAATGCTTCACCTACTGCTACTTCTAGGTATACCCACAAGCCAAATTCTCCTTGTTCGAGTCATCTCTCGATATCGTCATCTGGGTCGCCCTTTGCTTCGCAGAATCTTCCAATAGCTGCGAATACTGGGGTGCCTACTTGGGGTGCTTTTGCCTCTCCCCCTTCTTCATGCTGTGACGATTTTGAGTGGGTATCTTTGGATGGGAGCGATGATGAATTTATTCTCGGCGCTGTTCCGTCCATTGAAGAAGTTCAAAGCGCTGTCTCTTCTATTCAACAGTAAGATTTGTGTTTCTTTTATGAGTAGTACGATTTTTAGTTATCTGAATATCTATTTTCCATACGTTTCTCGGTCTTTTGGCTAAGATCAAGGATATATATTTTCCGGTTTCTTTTGTTGGACATGAGTTTTATAAGGTGTTTAGAATAGACTGAGTAAATTAATCAGGTTGGTAATTTTTTGTATTGGTATTTTCTTATGCATAACTAAGTGTTCAATCCATTTTACGCCACTCTGGGATTGTATATGGAATTGAAATACGACCAACCCCTCACCCATTTTTAATATGAGAAAGGAACCAGTGAACTAAAACTCGTTGGATATTATTAATCTTGATAATTGATAATTGTGTTGTTGCTAGTCTTAGCCGATGTTGGGAGGTGATGAACTTCATGCATGGAAATGCATAATTAAATACATCTGAATTTCCATGTGAATTCGGCAAATCAAACCTAGTCTTGATAGACTAGAAATAGTGTTGTCTGCAATTCTTCAAGCCATGAAAAAAATTTCTAAGCAGCACAGACACTGTTTTCAGAAAATAATCTATAGGATATGCCCATTGCTTTCCCAGAATTACATAATGTCTCACGGGTCACAGACAGCAAAAAAGAAATGTCCTTGGCGTGAGGAAGACGAGGTCCTGGGACAAAGTTGAGTTCTGTGGCAGTGCCTGGGTCCTGGGGTCGCTCACCAAACATGGTCCTGGATTTTAAGAAAGTTAGCTTGTGCTATATTGCAGTAGTACGGTGTTGCAAAGACTCTAAGCGAAGAGTTAATCTTGTTGTGAAGATTGGTTCTCACAGGTTCTTCTTTTGGATTGATCGAGAATGGTGATGTGATGGTCAGGAATATACCCACAATTTTATTTCTTAACTGTTTTTCCTTAAATCTAAATATTTAAGTAACTGTCAGTAAGGAACTTGTTTAGAATATGATGCAGAATTATATCAACTAGAATTTCTGAAGGAGTCTTGAAATAAGATGTAAATAATAAATTGAGTTCTAAGCTATCAGTTTAACCTTTTAGATAAACTGATTATAACTACTTGTTTAATGTTATCAATGACTATTCTGTTTTTATCTCATAGCTTGGCCTCACCTGTATCCACCATTCATGTACAAACTCCACATAAGGGGAGTATTAAGGGATATTAATCCTATGTTAACTAGTTATAAAGATATAATGACTTAATCTCTGTTATTTAACTAATTATAAGGATTTATTGACTGTTGTGTCAATGGAGATATGTAATGTCTTTTATATATTTCCAATCTCTCTGCTTATCATTATATGGTGTTAGTATTAGGATCTAACTTAGTTGAAAATCTAGTTCATAGCCACAGTGCATCCCTGTAAGTATTACATTTAATTTCAGGGTATAGGTTATTTCCTTAACATAGCTGGGTTACTTGTGTGGCCTTTTTATGTGCTCTCAACTAAAGATATTGCTTATTCATTGTATTCTTTTGTATGTGGAGTCTTGAACTAATAAGCATATGAAATAGGATTTGAACACGAGGGATGCAGACTTATGGATCTGTATTCTAGTTGAACAGTTTGCCATTGACTGAATGGAGCCGGTAGATTTAACTAATTGATAGGATAACTTTAGGTTGTTCTTTTGGACTATACTGACTTGATAAATTTTTCCTGCTCAACTGAATGTGATAAATTTGGACCAAGTTTCTACTGTGTTTGTGTTTCTTGACTTCATGCAACTAGCTTAAATGTAGACCAGCCGACTGGATTAATCGTCTTATGATCACGTGGATAATTTTCTGCTCAGATCTTCGAATCTCAGAACTGCCACATTAGTCTTCTAAGTGCTATATGGGCGTGTAAGTGATGTGTATTAACTGCCAAACTTTAAGCACAAGAGTTAAGCACAAGAGTAACTATAAGGTGTTCTAGGAGTACAGATGAGTTGACAGGCATTATAAATATAGTCATTGCACTTTAGAATTTTTTTCATAATTTTTAACATAAATTTGAAATCAATCAATCACATTTATGCCTGCCAACTTCTGTGCTTTGGGGAGTTTCTTATTATTACTCTTACGCATAATTAATCATAGGATATTGCTGTCACTTATGATTTTATTCTCTAAAAGAAAATTTCTTCTATTTATGCAGCATTTTTTTTAACAAATATCTATTGTGGTTTTATTTAATTTAGGGCTTTTGATGCGACATACTCCGAACTTGTTAGAGATAAATTTTCTTACAATAAGGATAAGGATGTAGCAGATCAGATATCAAGTCTAACTGGCGTGGTTCATCCCGGTTCTTTGGTGGCCACAGAGTTAGATTGAAAGAGCCCAGCCTGCATCTTTGTAACTCAAGAATGCTGCATGGTCATCATGGATATGAGAGAGTTTATGATGCTTTTCATTTACTGCAAACCGAGCCATCAGTTCAAGTGCTGACTATTCTTATCTTCTGCATGAACAACCATCATGGAAGCTTATTACCTTCTTTTCATCTTTGTAAACTTGTTTACTGGCTAGTGATATCATGATTACACTTGTGGTTTGTGCAATATGGATGGAGAATCTAGTCACTATAACGTAGAACAGGAATATATCCTCTAATTCTTACACAAATAAGAACTGTGCCTGTAATTATTGAGTTCCTAGCGTGAAAAGTATGTGCCAATGTTGATAATCAGTTGGAATTTTTTTCAACTGTTCAGAATTCTTATCCCAATTTGACTTACTTAAAGGTAAATATTATGATATTTTGCACAGAAAATGGTAATATCCTTATCATCTGACAAAGCTGTCTGGGATGCTGTTTTGAGAAATGAGGTGGTACGCGAACTCAGAGAGTCTTACTATGCAGGTATGGATGAAGTTAATTGAGATCTTCAATGGAGAATTCTTTATCGTTTTACTTATGAAGGTGGTGTTGTAGTTATTGTTTTCTGCCCTATGTCATTTTCTTTCCTTTTTAGGCAGATTGATATAGCGCATTTGGCTGTAATGCAGTCCAAATTAGAATTTGGAGAAGTTAAATAATTGAAAAACAGTTTTTATTATTAGTTTAATGAAGAAATTTTTGAAGGATTTCATTGTTTCCTGGAAACTTGGCTTGAGTACTCACTACAAGCTTACATATGTGAATGATAGGTATAACAGAGAATGATAATCCAGAGAGTTCGGATGAGACTTGTGATGATCCCTCTTCGGCAACAAGCTTCATAAAGTGGATTTTTGACAGCACTAAAGCAAAATTTCAGGAAGTATTTGAGCAAATAACAAAACTTGTCAATGAATTATTTAAACCTCCTGAAGATAAGAAGACAACAGCAGGAACCCCTGATCCATTTGAAGAAAAGCTGCGGACTTCATTCCTGCTATCGATTCTGGGCCTATTGGTGGTGGTGGTGAGTCGAGCGAGCAGAGCTTGACCATAATTTGACGACATGACAATGTTTATATTCTACCATGTTTTAGTGACTTGTACTGATGAAAAGGGTGTTTTTTTAGTGTTTGCTCTGATGAAATTTCCCTGTGGATTTGTAAGTACTGATCTTTTAGTTGACGTTTGAGCTTTAGTTGGCTTGTTCTATAAATATTGTTGGGATTTATGAATTTTAGAACGTCTTGGCTTTGTTTTATTTGCAACTTGCATAGTAGGTGTACCGTAAATAATTTTAAGCAGGAACAAGGAAAAATGTATTTGGTGCGTGTATCTCGTAACGTAAATTTCTTAATTGAATTACTTTGTGATATGAACTACCTATAGAAGTAATTTAATTTGATCAATGAAAACAACATTTCAATTGGTTTACTTATTCTCCATCCTACTTTATTTTCTTTGTAGTTACATAGTTAGAATATACTTGGACATCAAGATTATGTTTCTTCTTAATCTGGTCAAAAGCAGGTACCCAATGTTTAAGATTAAGAGATTCACAAGAAAAACTTTAAGCCACTTTGTCCTAAAAACACCAAATCTTCTACTTGGCATGCAAGTCAAGAATTAGGAGATTTTAAATTCTATTTAATTTAAAATCTATTCTAACATAAACTTTTATTTTTTTTAATATTTTATGTGTATTTTTAAATAAAAAATTTATTAAAATAAAAATTTTAATTCATTAATATAATTATAAAATTATAATTTTTTAGTCAAAGCACTCATAAACGTATTAAAAATTCGATCTAATTTTTTGTAGCATTAAAAAATAAATGTGTACCTATAGATGAATTATTTCTTTCAAACATAAGTGTAAATCAGGTTAAAAGGACTATCATTATACTCAAATTCATATAGACCTATTGGCACCGTCATTTGTACAGTAATAAGAACACCTACACCACAAGGATCAAATGAACTATCCTCCAACCCAAAATAGTGACTAAAAGTTTCTTTTTTTCATAAGATCCAACTGACTGAAGAAACTACCAAGAGTTAAATCCCTAAAGAAGCTTTACATCACATGCTCTACCCTCTACCTAGCGTTGCTGTAATAGTCTAACTCCACATTTCACAATGGCTTCACATGTTTATGGACATTCAGTTTTCATAAGCAACGTTGAGCGTTGCCAGTAACTTCATCGCTCTCTGTTCGAGTCATTTGTCGAATTTAAGATGGAATCAATGTCAGGTGTAACGACAGCGCGCTTGCGCAGCTCTCCAACAGCACAACAGTATTTCTCTCTTGTGTTGATTGCCACAACATCTTGAGCAAATGTACAATCTGATCCAGGTGAGACCTGCAAATAATTTTATAATGCCAGATGAAACTGCATAATTACCAAATTGGATTGTGCTCCGAACAAACTATCACCAGCCTCATTATCAATTCAAGGAAAAGCGGTGACAGAACTTGTTGAGCTGCGATAACTATAAAAGGTCCCACAAGAATTATAATTTTTCTCAAATTTATTAAACTTCTAGTGTGTTTCTTTACTGGCATTTTGACTCAATATTAAGAACTTTTGAGTTGGCATCAGAAGAAAAAAGTTACGTCCATCAGTTCAATTATGATTTAGGGCACTTTTTTTTTTTTTTTTTTTTTCAGAAGTTGCTACAGAACACTTTATCTGAATATAAGCATCAAATATGACTTACATCATACGGAACATCGCCCAGTTTCATCTTGATTGCCCCGCTCTTGTAGACCAACATCTTGCCCATGTATCCTCCTGGTAAGTCTTCCAAACCACAATTCTTCCGACCACCTGGAATTGAGCCTTCAGCTTTCTCTTTCCCCTTTCTGCTAGCAGATGGCTTGGTTAGGGGCAGATTAAGTGGAAGCTGAAAGAAGAATATCCTTTCTTTATCGCATTCCTCCTGTCACATGAGAACAATTTTAGTTTAGACAATAAATTCTGCCCTTTCCATCTCAGGAATTCTTTACTCATCTGTAATCCAATAATAACCAACCAGCATCCCAAGACCTAAAGCAGGATTAGTAGTATTCTCATCGTACTCTTGTTTTCTTGCAGCCTCCCCAAATTCTTCCTCATCAAGAAGTTCTAGCGACATAAAAAAGCAGTATTAAGCAACGCAGAGTTGCAATGTGAAGAATGTATAGCGATAAGTATGCATGACAGTAATCATTACAGTGCCATTATTGTCTGTGTAAGAAACTTTGGACCTCATCAGATGATCATGAATATATGATCATGTAATATATTGTTCATAGATTGTTGCAAAAAGGAAAATTCTCACTAGAAAAAGAATAGTTCATTCATGAACAAGATCATCTTCTAGGATATTTCGTTCTAGATTAAAGATGGTTTTCACACTTATCATTTGCCACCCAAAGGATGACTAAATGAAATGGTTCTACTAGGAGTTACTCATCTGTAGGGGCAGCTAACATCATACCTGGGTCCCCAGAAAAAGGTCTTCTCAGAGGAAGAACAGTAGGATAGTAGGAGTTGTGGTAGTCCTGGATTGGCACCAGTCAAACCTGATGTTAGTACCATAAAGAGTGAAAGGGAGAGAGGTCCATGGCTAGGATTTTATACCCAAGGTTCCTTGTAACTACTCTTTGCTTCTTGAACTGAAGTATTAACTGCATCCAAGGAATTTGCATCAGTTCCATCTTCTTTGTTAGTTGGAGGCAGAGATAAAATATTTTGTCCATCATTAGATCCAGAATCTTGCAGTCCAGGTTCAGTGCTTTTGCCACCATTCCCATCCCTATGAAGGCTGATAGACCTTGTCGTGCTTGGTGATTTGGCTTCAGGACCAAATGCAACTTGCACTGAAGCTGCAGGTTTGAAATTTGAAAGTGATCAAGGTTTCTGTTAACAATAATATTACTTATCTACCATCATAGATTACTCCAATTTCGACCATTGAGCCAATAAAAATCTTTTTCGGTAATGCATTCCTCCTTAACAGCAACTATATTGATCTTCTATGTTCTGTTCTTTTTATGTCCATCAAGAGTCGCATAATATTTTGGTTGTTTTATTTTATAACTACCAAAGTTCAGTGCCCCAATAATTGGTTCAGCAGCCACAAAAGAATCATGAGTTTGCTGTTTGTGTTTGTCATAAGCGAAGCAATGTGCACCACAGAACTGAATGGAGCTAGACAGGTAGTGTAGTTTAAAAATCATGCTTACATGCTCATCCTATGGGCAAAGCATTTTCTAGGGGTAGCAACCATAATCTTGTAAGCTTAGATCTGCTTCAACATTTACATTTGATTTGCTAAACTACTCCTTTCCACCATTTAAATAGGAAAATACAATAACTTGCTAGCGAGTTGTAAAGGTATCTAGTTACGTCTTCATTTCATTGCTCAAAACTTTGGCTTCAAAGCCTCCCCAACAAAGCCATTATAATTTTTAGTCCTGTTCAGGACAATTCTGACAATGGTTTCTAACGTAGGGAGATATCGATCGAAACAAACATAAAAACTTGTTTAGAAGACTTGATTGAGTAATGCTAAAAGTTTAAAAGTCTTCTGTAATTCAGAACAAGATGGTAAGGAGAAGAAAATGAAAATTTACATTTCTTTTCGACTTTAGGTCCTTGCCGGGTGCGAGTTGCCTGTAAATGCAGTGAGAATAAGAAATCAGAAATCACTTCAAGGGCATCTTCAACTGGAGATAAAATGAAAGCTTCAGAAATTTCACTTCTGGGAACCCAATTTATAATCAAATCTCAGTCATTCAACTGATTGCTGATTAGTTTCAAGGTTTGAGCCATTCAAGTTATTAGATCTTATACATGTTTGAGCCATTCAAGTTATTAGATCTTATACATGTTTGAGCCATTCAAGTTATTAGATCTTATACATGTACAATCATTTACTTTTCTAGATTGTTATTTGAATTGGTTTCTTGTTTCTTACGTTTCCGTGCTATATTTTTTATGTTCGAAACTAATCAGCAATCAGTAACTGCTATTCTCACGACAATTTAACACACTATTACAAAAATGGCCTGAGCCCAATATAAGATTCTTTTTTCTTTTTTCAATATAAACATTTATTTTCTTATATTACTGTATGATATATATATAAAAATATAAATATTAAATATTTGCCAGCTCGCACGCAGGAGACAGATCAACTACAAAGAGACAAGAAAGATATTTAATAACACAAATTACTTTTTTTTTTTTAAAGAAAAAAGCAAATAAAAGACTCTGATTAAAGCCATGTTTGGAACAACCATACTTGATTTACGAAATTCATTCGGAAATTCGAGTGAACTCGAGAAATGAATTTCATTTCCTCCAAACACAGCCTAAGAAAAGCAGTACGGAAGAAATGAATGAAGTTACAGTGTTGAAGAAGAAAAGGTCGACATACGAAGAAACTGTTGAGAAGACTCTGGGCCTGTTCAGCCTTTTTTCCTTCATCATCTTCTTCTCTGCATTTAACAAAAAAAAAAAAAAAAAAGAAAAAAGAAAAGAGAAAATCGCATCAAGACCTAAAGAGAAGAATGTTTTGCAGGAGAAAGGGAAAGCAGTACGTTTTGGGAGCAGAGCTGTTGGGCCTTCTAGAAGCTTTTGGTGTAGGAGCAAAACGACGCTGCATATACATTCAAGAATAAATTCAATCAGGTTTTAGGGCATGAATTTTAGGTCAGATCTGGATTTGGTTTAAATTATTGAAAGGGCAAAAGTTTCTGAGATGAAAGATGATTCGTACCTTTCCATGGCCAGAAGAAGGATCCATGGTACCAGCGATTTCAAGTAGAAGAAGATGGTGGAGAAGGAAATGGAAGAAAAAATGAAGACTAAAATGCTCGAACCCGAGATCTCCTATGAGGCTCAGGAAACCCCAACCACCGTGTTTATATCGGTAGACGGTAGGCTCTCACAAATGTTAAAATAGAACCAAATATAGCGGAGAGAATTAACATCACAAATACTTTTAATAATATCTAAATATTTAGAAGGATCTTCTTGAAAATTCACATAATTGAAGTTAATTTGGCCTTTAATTTTTGTTTTTTTTAAATAAAAAGTTATGTTAAATTTTTTTAACTCAATATAATTAATTACTCAGGTATAAAATATTTTTTTCACCCAAATATATCATCAATAAAATTTAAATTCATAATTTGTACACATCAAAGTGGTAGTAATTCAATCTCTAAGTTGAGACTAGTTGTTTCAATTTATTTTTTGTATAATATAATGTTTAGTTCTAACTTCAAGGATCAGTTTAATTTGTGTAAAAAAATATTTGTTTTCTTAATGATAAAATCTATTTACTCTAATTCCGATAAAATAAAACCATTAAATTTTATTTCCCATTTAAAAAATAGTAAACATAATTTATGCAATTTTGACTTTACTCACCCCATTTAAAACAAGTAATGAAGTAAGGTTAGAGTGTTGCAGAACGAATATGGATTTTATATATATACATATATATCTACACCTATAATAGGGTTACTCGCTCCATTTATTTTTTTAATTATTTTTATACACATTTATATAAAATATAGTGTTGAGATTTTAATGGTATTATTAGACATTTATGTTTAAATTTATTAATGTTAATTGTAATGTTTTATGATTAGAACACCTTTAAAAAAAAAAAAAGATAGAATATAAAACAAGCAGTAAAAGTATAGTTTTATATATATATTATATATATAAAGAGTATAATTTATCCTTAATATAGTTGATTAGTCGCTTAATTTTTTTCTTTATTAATATGTTCGATATAATTCAATTATTTATTCACATCGTTTCATTTAAAATAATAAAAATTGTTTTCTTCATGCCCTTCAAGCTATCGTTTTTTATTTTTAATTTTTCATAATTATTTACCTTCACTTTTTTTTTTTTTTAATAATTTTCTTGCGAGAATTTGGATTTATTTTTTTAATTTAAAAAGATTGTGTGCGCTTCCAAATTTCGCATAGATTTTTAGATTTATTCTAATTTGCCCACAAACAAACAAACAAACAAGGCCTGAGAGAAGACAAAGCAGGATTCAAGACCTACAATTCCAACATAATACACGAATTCAGTTTGAGAGACAGGAATTTGATATGCGGTGGTGGTGATTTAAAAACAGCAAATATGCTCTAATTATATGCAATATGAATGGAAACTGAACCAAATGGAACACTAATTAAACCGTGACATTAGCCTTCTCAGTTCCATTTCAACCAAACCGAAATGAAACTAGCTCCGTTCAGAATTAACCAGACTCATACTAAATAATCAGTTATGACCCACTGTAGTTTTAAGGAAGATTTATTCTGCTCAAGAACCAGCAGTCATCATTTCAACCGTTAAGCCACTGAGTACTTACAAGCTGGCCTCCTCATAGGCGTATATAGTATGGAAGAAAATGTTTGGTTTCAAACTCAAAAGTTACAACCCAACCTAGGCTGTCTTCTCCCTCCATATTCCCCCCAAACAAAAGAGAATCTACCCAGGGACAATTGAACTAAAGTAGGAACAAGAAGCTGATGCACCAAAAATCCTCATATTTGATGGATCCAGAGCTTGCGACAGCATTGTATACCCTTGAAAAAACTCCTTATCAAGTCAAAAGATGTAAACCCTGACCAACTTTTACACAAGGTTAGATAATGGTTCAGAACAGTTCACCAAAACCAGATAAGCATGTCAGTATGCCATCATGCTCAAGGCTATATATCATTGTACCTTGTGTAGACAAATCATTCTTCACTACACCAGAAAGCCATTAGCTTGCAAACATAACGCAGTCGTTCAATTTATAACATCCTCAATCATTCTTCTCGACTAGGGCAATCCAACCAAGGTAAGTGTTTAATCACAAAAACATTCACAAAACTTTCTTCCAAAACTAGCAATACGCCGCCCGTACCTCATATGAAAGTACAAGCAGCAGCATAACTTATAAAAAACTTTTTAAAAAAAGAGAGATTCCCTCAAAAACTAGCCTGCTTCAGTGGCAATCACAAAGTAATCAACCACTGCAACAGTTGGATTTCTGAACAGACACGTGGAAGAAATATAATTTAAAAATATGACTAAATCAGCCATCACCTTATGAATCTAATACTGGGGCATTTACATTGGCGTAACAACTCTCTGAGTGACAGTTAGCACAACAGTAAAAAACAACAAAACATCTAACCATTTCTGACAGAAGAGGAAACATGTCAGTTTGAAAAGCTAAGATTGCAACAGAAAAGAAAACATATGAATTTACTCCTGTACTTCTATAAATAAAGATATTATTTCATTATTGTTAACTAATTATAGTTCTATTACTGGCGAGAAGTCAAAAAATGTGATCAGATACCTTGAAGAGTTATGCTAATAACCCAGTTATAGATAGTTCTTGTATGATTTATGGTAAGGGTCAGCATGGAATATGCAAAACAAACTACACACATGGTTAAACTCTTCCAAGTAGAAAAAGGATGTCACTAACATGTACAAATAATGAGACCCGTCACTTTCCCCTGAAAACAAATGATGTTACTGAAATAAAACATCTGAAATTGATTGTTTATTGGTAAAATAAATGTTTTTGGAAACTGTGGTATGGCAAATAGATGCCTGAGAAAGGCAACTCAACGATTTCAGGTTTAAATTTCAAAATGCAAAAGTTAATAAGTTAGCCAAGCACTCTGAAGTTACGAATCATTGACCCACTCCACAAGGAACAAGGACACATAATTCCCAAAGCATAAAAATGAACTTCCCAACTCATAAGAGCTCTCCTCTCGCTACAACTAAATCAACTAAAGGTTAAAAAGCATCCAAAAAAACAGGATATAAAACTTCCAACAAGAGGATAGCACGTCCTGCCTACACTCATTTTTAGGAAAAGCCAGTCTGTCTTCCCCGAAATATCATACCAATATCTTTCATAAGAAACTTTTGTACTTCCAAAAAATACCTTGTAATGAATCTTCCTACCACAATCCATCAAAGGGATAATTGAAATGCATTCTAACAGATGGTAGGAATAGTTGGGAATTTAAAAAATAATGACCATATGCTAGATATCTACTAGCCTAATTTAATAGATTGTAGGACAAAACCAACTCAAGTGCTGCCATAATTTGCAACACTCAAATCTCAGCCATTAGCCAGACAGTCACCTGCCACATAAACTAGGAAGACAGATCAGAATTATTGCAGATGAATTCATACCACGAAGACAATGTAATGCAAGCATAAATTCATGATTAAAAGATAAAAATATCTTCCACATACCCAAATTCCCTCTTATTCTGGGGCATTACCACCTTCTGTGAAAGGAAATGAGACAGAAGGCCTAGAAGCTCCAGATCATTAGCAGAAATTAGTATCCATCCTCACAACAACTTGAATATCATTATCAGAGAATTAAAAGAAATATAAAAACAAGCAGTTTAGCACAAGATGAAATAATTCATCAGAAAATAAAACACAACAAAAAATTGTCAGTAACCAGTTCTTGGAGACTGTTAAACATACTAATCAGAAAACATTAGCCACCGGAGAAATATAAGATATAAAGATCTGCAGAAGATTTCATCCTACAAAAGAAATTCAAAATATTATTAATAATAAACTTTTGAATGGCCTTCCGAACAGCGACTGAGTGAACTGAACTTCTAAGGCAAATCTCTGCAAATGTAATAACAGTACAGCAAGGTAAAAGATGTGAGTCCCAAACTTCCAACAAGCAAGGGGTAAGAAATCAGGTTGACAAGAGCGCCAAGAAAGATCATGCCTGAAAAGTTGTAAGATAATAGGAAAGAAATAGGTTAAAAAATATAACAAAATATAATCAAGTGATCACACGGATGGCGCATACACTACAACAAATTAAATTAATCAAACAAGAGAGGAAACACAAATTTTGGGAAAACCTTGTCCAGAAAGAAAGAGGTAAGCAACGCAAGCCTTAGGCAATCCCCAGTTTCAATGAAACAAAATGAATTTACAAAAACAAGAACAATTAGAAACTACCAAAGTATTCAGCAGGAAGTCTGATGTTCAATGCTCAATTAGAGGAAAGCAAGATTGTACTTACAAATGGGGGATACTTCTTACCTCTAGAAACAAACCTTAGAATGTCCACAAAAAACAAAGTGAGTATTCCAATACTAGATGCAAACAGGAAAGCAAAATGAGATGATAATGTTAGCAATGCAAAAGTCCCAACTACTCTCTCTCTACTTCTAGGTACCTTATGACTGATGAATCTTTTAAATCTTAAAAAGAAAAAAACAATCAACTTGACAGATGACATAGGAGGTGGCACTCTACCTACAAAATTTCAAATGAATATTTAAGTGCATGAATCACCGTCCACAAGGTGATTGAATATTTAAGTGCATGAATCACCGTCCGCAAGGTGACTGTAAGGCTAGTTTACTTCCTCCCACATAAATGTCAGTTAACAAATGTTTGCAACTGTGTTAGTCACTGAGTGGGTGAACCAGAATAGATAATTTCTTTTATATCTAAATTATGATATAAGAGATACATAATAGAAATTCTTGGCTGATAAAAGGACCAAACAGGTTTCCTGATAGCTCCCCAGATTATTTTAAGACAGATAGTTCCCTAGTGGTTGTTTAAGAGAGAATTTTTTTGTTAATAAACAGATATTCCCATGTCTGGGCATTAGGTCC